AGCTTAGGACAACCAAAGAGGCATGCGAGTTGAGTTCAGATCAAATGGAGGTTGATATCAAACATTCAAACTCAAAAAATACTTAGACTTCTTTGTACGAGCATTATATAAGCTCATTTAGCTTTCATTTGTAATCACTCTTTTTCTACAGAAATTAAACAAGTATTATTCAGTAAAAGAAAGTTGTCTTTGTACGTTTGGTTCATTAGAGTTCATAGGTGGATTCCATGTTCTCTTGTGTTCTTGTCTTTAGGATTTGTGTGTGAATTCATTTAAGTTCTATTGGCTTGCGATTCTAGATTGTTTGTGAGATTCATACAACTCTGATTTGTGTGTTGCTCGTGGATTCGATCAACAAAACCTCCACTTCCATCTCTATCATCATCCATCTTCCGCATAGCTTGTAAACTCTTGATAATCTTGTGAAATTAAGTTTGGTGGATTCCAATCTTATATCAGTTAGTCAAACAATATAATGAATTCAGTCTTACCTTGAACTGATTTGTAGGGATTTGTTTGAGTTGCTGGAGGGGATGAACTTGGACGCCTTTAGGTTGGGAGAATGGTGAATAAGGAGACTTCAGGCCCATACTTGATAAGTGGCCATTCTTCCATGTATTTTCTTGGACCGTCCTTCATGAAATAATCCTCTTCTTGATACGGTTTGGCTTGCACTTCGGTTTGACCTTGATCTTGGGAAATGGTCAACTTCGTCAGCTGCTCGGTTATGTCTCGAACCTCCTGATCAGCAAGTAGTGTCTCTACAGCTTGGTTGAAGTTCTCCCTTAGCCTCTTAGCTCCTGCTCTAGTCAAGGGTGGGATGTTCATAGCTGGAACATGGATGGTTTACGGAATGCTGGTACTTGGGATCACATCACCCTGTTTCTTTGAGCCATTGATGAATGAGATCATTTTTATCTCATAACCATGTCCCTTGAACCAAATGCTTTCACTTGATTTGCACAAACTTGATCCATTGGTTACTTGCTAATTGAATGTTAAAAAGGTCAAGTGATTTGATGGCTTGTGTCGATTGATAACTTGGGAATCATTTTCATTTTGTGATGAGTGTGGCTAAGTTTTAGAGTACAGTTCCATCATTTGCATTCTAGCACTAGAAACATGGACATCATTTTGATCTATTGTTAGCATTTTAATGATATGAGTTCCCATTTTAAAACCTCATCGCCATGTTTAATCTTTCATTTGCTTGAGGGGAAGCAAAGACTAAGTGTGGGTGTTGATAGCTTGATATATTAGAGCATTTTAGGCTGCATTTCATGCATGATTTCTCTTGTCCTTGCATTATTTCTTATCAATTTTAGTCTCATTTACATACAGATGTAGTCATGCATGCATTTAGATTAGGATGCATACATTTGCATGTTTAATGTGTATTTCCAGTGCCGTGCCTAGGCTTTGCCGAGGGTAAGGCAAATTTAACCAAATAAAAATTTAAATATTATATATTTACATATATTTTTATTAAAAAACTAATGATTAAGATGAATGAACATTATGATAACAAATATATACTGTAGGTATTTAATAAAAATTTAAGAACATTGAATTATGGGAGATCCCCTGTTTCTTTGAGCCATGCATGCATTTATATTAGGAAATACATTTGCATGTTTAAGGTGTATTTCAGGTGTTTTTGGGCCTAAAGACATTTATTGGAGGATGTAGGATCATCTGGAGTCAAAGAAATATGCAAGAAGAATGAAGCCAAGATGTTTAGAAGCTGCACCGAGGTCCCACATCGAGGTCTTTGCTCGGTTCAACAGGATGCGAGTTAAAGATCGGTCCGGAAGAAGCCTCTCCACTCATATTCAGGCTCCACGTTCTTCATGAAAGTTGTAGATTATCGGAATAGAGTTCCAGTGGTGGTCGAATCATGTAATTTTGATCTGGGGTTCAAGAGATAGAGCGATTTCAGCTACGCAGTTTTCAATAGCCTGCTGCACCAGAGAAGCACATCGACCAAAACCCAGGAAAAACTGCCGATGCGTGCTGAACCGACCAAAGCTGTCTGAAGCAACAGGTACATACTGCATCGAGGTCCAGCATCGAGCAGAATACCCATCCATGTACCCCGATATGCATTATCCGAGAGTTGGCCAACTTTTTCCACTTTTGACCAAACCTTATCCTTTCACTTATTTAAGCTAAACCTTATCTTTTTAGCATCTTATCTTCTTCTTTATCTTATGTTCGACCTGAGGGGAAACCAAAGAGGAGATTTGATGAGATTTTGATCAAGATCACTCTTTTAATAAAGTTTTGCACTTCCTTTGTTATTTTCCTTCTAGTTCTTGTTTAGTCATGTTTGATCTGTCTTTTCTGCTTGTTTATGTTGATTTCATGATGTTTTGTGAGTAGTTTCATATGGTTTGAGGTTGGAGCAGATTTGGAGATGATTAGTTGATAGCTTAGGGGGTTTTAGTTTAATTCATGCTTAGATCACTTATCTTAGTTGTTCTTAATGCTTAATAACTCTTTTAGGGTGAAACTGATCTTAGGTGTTTGCTGCATCACAAGTGTTTATTTAAATGCCTGAAAGAACTTTGTTAAGAACATTCTTCTAGATGATTATATTGGCGTTTAGGTAGCATGTTTGGTCTATAAGATTCTTGTGTTTTCATGCTGGTTTTGCACAAATACACCATCATAAGTGGGTCTGACATGTGCTTAACTTAGACATCTCTGTTCTGTTTGCAGATTGATTGATTTAGTGGCTTGATCATGTTCTTTGCTTGTTAATGGTCTTGACTACCATATGTTTGATACTAAGTAATCCCCAAGTCATCATTGCTCTAGCCTTGAATCAGCGCCTCATTGTTCTTTGAATTTGATCATATTGTGCTCTGTTTTTCTCTGTTTTTAGTTGCTTTGCTTTTATCCATTTCTTGCCTTACACTTTAAGTATTGCACTTAGCTTTCATTCTCTCATCTTGCATTTACATTTGACTCTTGCTTTCTTTGATTCCTGTTGCATTTAGCCTTCTTTGCATTTCATACTTTGCTTAAGTCTTGCTAGTTTTCTCTTTTGTGCATACATTTCATCTTTGATCACTTAGGTTGTTAAAATCATCCTTCTTCATCATACATGGTTAAACCTAGTTAGTGCATTGCATCTCTTTTATTCTAGCTCATAGATAGATTGATAAACCTCATCTATACTACATCTGATTAGAGAGAGATTGCGTTAAGACTTGCAAAAAGTTCTTCTTCATGAGTCTGCGCAGCCTCTGCTTCTCACCTACGAGAGGAATATATGTTTGCCATCAGTTCGTGAGATGCATGTCTAACGTCTGCGTCTTGTTATCTGTGCGTTTATCAACATCAGCTCCCAAAAAAACGGTGCAGTTTTTTTGTCATTCTCAAACATGGGATGCCCTCGTCTTGTCCTACAAACCAAGTTTATCTGGTGACTATATAACATTTTTGCGACATTTATGTGACATGCAGAAACTACGGCACGTCGTGATTGGTCTCTTGGCCAAATCATCACAGGATAAAATTGTAGTCAAATGTGAAGTTAGTCTGCGCAGCTTCTGCTTCTCACCTCTGAGAAGAATATATGTGCGTAATCAGTCATCGAGACGCTTGTCTAACGTCTGCGTTTTTTCATCTGGCGTTTATAAACATCAAGTCCCAAAGAAAAGAGATGTCTTTTGTCATTCTCAAATATAGGATGCCCTTGCCTTGTCCTACAAACGGAGTTTATATGATGACTATATAATATTTTTGTGACATTTTCCCCATGTGCATAAACTACGGCACGTCGTGATTGATGTCTTGGCCAAATGATCACATGATAAAATAGTAGTCAGGTGAAGTTAGTCTGCACAGCTTCTACTTCTCATCTGCGGGAGAACTTTAAAACTATATTCGCAATCAGTCAGCCTATCTAACGTCTCTACGTTGTATTCTTTACATAAACCAATAACCCCTAATTATACAAGAAATATTGTAATAATCTGTTTCTTTACATAAACTAATAACCCCCACTTATAGATGAAGTGGTCTGTAATTTTAAATTGCCTAAAATGATCTAGGCGTGCCTTTCATCTGCCATAATTCTTCTTCTTCTGTTAATCTACATAGTCTCTGCTTTTCAACAGCAATATTGCAAAGATTAGAAGGGTAACACTTGTAAATAACCATTTTAATTTAAGCAAACATAACTAAATAAATGTACTAAATCTAAATGGTTAGGAAAGTAGCACAAATATTTAAAATTATCGTTAAAAGAGATCCATGTTTAAAAATACTTTCTCATAATAGATTATTTTGGAGCATTTCTTTTTTTTTTTTTTTAATATTTGATGTTTTAGGATTGTTGTGTACATAAAATAAAATAAAAAATATTCCCTATTGAAACTTTTGCATTATTGTTTAATTTTTCTTAATCAACAAACGCAAAAAGTAACTTAATGTTCATTTTTGCATACACTGATTTGTGAAAACATCATTTATATTTAAACAAAAATCTTAAAATATAAAGTATTGAAAAACGAAAAGAGTGTCAAATGTAACATTGCATTAAAAAAAAAAAAAAAAAAAAAATACACCTCTGATTCCAAGCACCTTCTATGTCTAGTCCAGGCAATGAACCTTACCATTTATATGACGACCCACTAATCCTTTCACTCCTGAATCAGAATTTAAAGATCTCATTGGGACAGTAATGATATTGGTACCTGAAACATCTAGAAAGGTTTATTATGCTGATAATACCATTTCTCAAACTGAGCCTTGTGTTTTTTCCCAAGCTTATGAGTCGCCATCACCTTCTCAGAATTCATAGAAATATTACAAGTTTCGCACCAAATGATTTTTCTTCTCACCTTTTGTCTCAGGTGGCTGATCATTCTGTTTTTCGATAGCAGCCTTATGTATTTTTCCTAACTCATGCCTCCTCATGACTGTCTCACAAAAGGCCCCAACACTACAAACTTCACACCAAAACCTAAACCTACTCTGAGGTTTTCTTCCTACTGTTCCAACTTGCTTTCCACTGCAAGTGCCCCCATAAAAGTAACCGGAACTAGACTTGGAACATACACACTGCAAGGGGTATAAAAGAATATATGTCTTCCTGTCATCTCAACTTGTTTTTTGATCTCATCCTTGCACATTTCGTAGACATCGATGTAAACATTATTCTCCTGGGCATCGTATTCCGGGCACAATAACATGATCTTATTTGTCTTGTGGATGAAGCATGTCGGACCAATTCTGCGACGGGAAGTGGAGTGTAATACAAAGGGATCATAAGTTACATTGAAATACTTGCTCCACGAGACAACCCCATCGGCCAGCTTGCTTGTAACCCACACCTCAATCTTCACATTTTTATGATGGTGTAACAAAGAAAGCATATCTCCTCCGAAATCTGACAAGAGTACTATTTTACCATTACTAAGAGAATATTCAATTCCCTTTGGAACACAACATATGGGCTTGAATGTTTCTGTGGAAAAATCAAAATTTTGGATGAAGATTTCGTTTTCAGTTTCAGAGTTAACCATCTTCTTTCGAGCAATCCAGTACATGTTTCCATTCATAGATACAGATCCCCGCAGTGCATGTGCATAGCATTCGAGGGTAGCATCAACACTTCTCCAGAGTTTAGACTTAAACTCATATATCTCAATCTCCGTTGATAATTGGCCTTGGTTGATCCTCAAGATCTTGTAGTTGTCACGGGATACACTGTCGTATCCGAAACCGTAGATATCAAATCTATTGTAAGATTTCGAGGTTTGGATCAATCTGAATCGGTTCAACATAGGGTTCCAAACAGCCAGCTTTCTTCTTGCATCCCAATTCTTACGTCTCTCAGTACACTTAAATAGCAATAATCCGTCGCAGTGAATCGCTTTTCTAAAATTAAAATTGTGTAACTCGTCTGGCGTTTGCAGATCCAAAAGAGCATTGGTCTGAGGATTGAAGATTTGGATCGATGAATGATCAACATCAACTCGTATGAATCGTTCCTGCGAGAGATCCAAGTGTTTGTCGATGAATCTCTTGTCGTCGAAGAGAGCGTACCATTGTTTGCATACCGTTTTCAATCGTAACAATAATTCGATCGGAACCCTGCAAAGTATCTCTTCGATTAACTCAAAAGGCAGCGACAAGGAACGCCGCTTTGACGCAGTCGTGGAAGAGAATTTTAAAAACTAGGTCACGAAGATAACACAATAAAAAAAAAAAATTCCTTTTTATACCCTAATCGATTACTTGGAAAAAAAGAGAGACAATTTTAACTTTAAAAAATACTTTATTTTGTACCCTAGTCGATTACTTGAAAAAATAACAAAAACATAGCTTTGCTTGCATTACAAGTTAAGCATTGTGTCAGATCACTACGTGTTATTTGATTCGCAGAATGTGTTCTTGGCATCATCCCTATAGTTGTAGGTGCAAGAGATGTTTTACCATGATTGCTTTAGGTAAAATCAAGGAAAGGCTTTGCGACCAGAAAGTGCTTATCATCCTTGATAATGTTGACCATCTAGAACAGATGGAGGCTTTGGCTAATGAAACTACATGGTTTGGTCCGGGAACTAGGATCATCGTGACCACAGAAGATCAAGAACGTTTAAAGCAACATGGTATCAAAAATACATACCATGTGAGTTTTCCATCCGAAGAAGAAGATCTTGAGATCTTTTGTCGATACGCGTTTAGACAAAGCTCTCCGTTGTATGGTCTCCGTGTTCGGTTCATCTTTACGTGGGAAGAATGAGGATGAGTGGACTGTTGTAACACAGAGGCCAGAAACTAGCATTGATAGAGATATTGAGAGAGTACTAAGTGTTGGCTATGAGAAAGATCAAGCTCTATTTCTCCTAATTGCATTCTTCTTCAACTACAAAGATGATGATCATATCAAAGCCATGCCTACTGTAATCTGGATGTCAGCCACGGGATTAAAACCCTAGTCAACAAATCTCTCATCTCTGTGTCTAACAAAGGAAAAGTAGTGATGCACAAGTTACTACAACAAGTGGGAAGACAAGCAGTTCATAGACAAGACCCCTGGAAACGAAACATCTTAATAGATGGTCAAGAGATTTCTGATGTTCTTGAAAATGATACAGTAAGTACATTACTTTGTGTTCGTGCCCTTGGCCATTTGGTGAAAATTCTTACCTTATTGTACTAGCAATTTTATTTTCTATTTTGATAAGGGCACTAGAACTTTGATGGGCATATCATTTGATGTATCTAGACTAAGCAACAAAGTTTACATAAGGGAGAGAGAGCTTTTAAGAGAACGCAAAATCTCCGGTTTCTCAATGTCTACAGGAGAAGCTTTCATGGTACAAAAAGCTTGCACATACCTGAGGACATGGAGTTTCCACCTCGTCTAAGGTTACTGCGTTGGGAAACATACCCAAGAAAGAGTCTTCCTCCTGCATTTCACCCAGAATATCTTGTGGAACTTATAATGAGGGAGAGCCAGCTAGAGAAGCTATGGGGAGGAACTCAGGTTAGTTAAATACCATAACCACTATTGTTACTTGAGATTAGAAACTAAAAATATCAAATGTTTGCTCTTCTACTAGATTCAGCTGCTTACAAATCTCAAGAAGATGGACCTGGAAGGGTCTTGCCATTTGAAGGAACTCCCAGATCTTTCAAAAGCTACAAATCTTGAGCGATTGATTCTGATGGACTGCAAGAGTTTAATAGAAGTTTCCTCCTCTTTTTCAAATCTCCATAAGCTAAAGGAGTTGAAGTTGTTCCAAACCTTAACTTAGCATCTCTTGAAAAGGTTGACATGGATGGATGCACAAGATTGAGAAGTTTTCCAGATATTTCTACAAACATCACAACACTCGTTATAGCATACACATCTGTAGAAGAATTGGGAGCATCATCCATTAGACTTTAGTCTCGTCTTGGTTATCTAGACATAAGCGGAAGTGGAAACCTCAAGACAATAACACATGTCCCGGAAAGTGTAACGCATCTAGACCTGAGCTATACTAGTATTGAGAAGATTCCAGATAGCATCAAATGTCTTCATGGTCTACAACATCTTTATCAATCTGGCTACAGAAAACTCAAATCACAGAAAACTCAAATCACTGCCAGAGCTTCCTGGTTCACTCATGTCTATACTAGCAGAAGGCTGTGAATCACTAGAGACAGTATCTTGTTCTCTTGACACTCCAAATGCACAACTCAACTTCAGTAGCTGCTTCAAACTGAGAGGAGAAGCACGGAGAGCAATTATCAAACAATCGTTTCTTCATGGATGGGAATGCTTACTCGGAAGAGAAATGCCATCTGAGTTCATTCACCGAGCTAAAAGAGATCATGTGACTATCTCTACAGAGGGTAAGTGTAGCATCCGTATCCGAAAAAATTTGGAATGATCGAGCCGGACAGGAGGTTGTCCGAAGGAATGGGAGTTCAGTCGAGGGAAAATCCGTACAGATTGGGAGGTTCAGACTATAGTCGATGGATGACTAGGAAATAGTCGAAGGATGGCCGGGCTGGCCGAGCAGGACGGACCATATCCGAGAGAAAAATGGTTCTGTCCGGGAGAAAGTGGATTATGTCCGAGAAAAATGGATTATGTCCGGGAGAAAGTGGATTATGTCCGAGAGAAATAGATTATGTCCGAGAGGAAATGGATTATGTCCGAGGAAAATGGAAAATAGCCGAGGCTTTTTGGTTTTAGCAGAGTAAAAATAGGCTGGGCCCGTGGGCTAGGAGTTTGGTCGGATGAAAACTAATTTCTCGTGGGGATGGTCGAGCGGTTTATACGATATCCGAGATAAATCAAAGCTGACCAGGATAAACCTGACTAGAACCGGGAGATGCTGGCTATAACCGGGTTAACTAGGTTTTACGAGCATATAAAAGGGATTTTGAGACCTTTTCTCGAGACAGCCGCATTATTTGAGAGAAATAACGCGTGAGAGAGAGATTGGTCGAGAGAAATCCTATAGTTTCTGATTATCCCGAGAGTTGGCCAAGAAAGATCGAACTTTCGCCGGCGATTCCGACTATCACCGAGAGATCGAGCGTTCTGTCCGAGTTTCTGTGGATCTGTTTTGACCATTAGTCCTGATTTGAGGGTTTGTCGAGGGAATAACCAAGTTTATCCGAGGATTTCTGAGCGGATCATGTGATATCCGAGAACACTTTGATTCGTCCGAGAGAATCTTGTAAGTGTTCGGCTATTCTGATTTCTGTTGAGTTTCTGTCGAGTAACTTTGGGCTAATCGATCTGAATTATACTGTTCCAGAGGGAATACAGCTTCTTGCCCGAGAAAAAGTGACCGGGTTGAGAGATAGCCGAGAGGTGTTGGGATTTTGTCGGACCAGTCTGAGCGATAGCCGAGAAATTGTAAGTGTGTCTGAGTATCTCAGTTTCTGATCGAGAAATCACCGAGATTCTTTCGACTGAAACGTTTGTTTCTGTGTCTAAGGTGAGTGTGTGACTGTAGTCTGTATCTAGAATCGTTGGATTGCTAGGTTATCTGATTTTCATTGATTGCTTGTGTAAGTTAGTGGTTTCTGCTTAGCAAGGTCAATGTTTCTGTGATTGTGAATGGTTAAGTGTGAACTGTGGTCAATACATGATGTCTAACTAGCTGTGTGAATGTCCGGATCGAGTTACTAGCTCAAGGGGATGTGTGAATCTCGCTTGGAGCAGTACCGATGCCTTGTGAGGCTTCACAAGTAGTTGAAATGATCATAGGACCGTACTGTTTTCTGTGCTTGCTTGCTAAGTGATAATGTGAATTGTATAACTGATAGTATGATGTGTTTTCTGGTACTGGCTAAGGTGTTACGGGATGACCGTATTCACTAAGTATTTATCAAATACTTATGCCTCTCTTTTTGAGTGTGCAGGTAAGGATAAAATCCAGGGCGAGTAGCTCTGAGGGCGGACTGGAAGGCAGTAAAGGAAAGGGGTGGATTAGGACTGGGTTTTGGGATTCATATTCTGAGTTTGAGTTTCTATTTAAGTACTTGTGTTAGTGCTTTATGAGTTGAACCGAATCTGATAAGTTAGTTTGTTATTGAGTCCGAATTCTGTTAAGTGTTTCTGGAATAATTATGCAATGAGAATGAATGTCTTTTGATGAATCGAATTTGTTTAAGTTTAAGAAAAGTTTTTAAAATATGCATGTTTTTGTATTCTGGCCGAGAGAAGATTCGGTGAGGTTCGGGCCGGTCTAGAGATAGACGGTCGGGTCCTCACAAGTTGGTATCAGAGCATGGTCGATTCTAGGACAGTTCATTTGCATAGTTGGGGTTAGAGTCTATCCACCTTTTCACTGCCAGGTCTCGCAGTATGTTGTTCTGTAGAGTGTGAAACTCTTGTCTGGAGTTAGCTTCGGGCTAACCAGTTTTTCTGTTTGGCAGATGGCTCCGAGAAAGAGAACTGCAAGAGCTCAAGTGAATGGTGCTGAGAACTCTGAGAGTTCTGGAACTGAGAATGTGGTCATGGACCAGCAAGTGAATGCGGCTGGGAATGCTGCAAATGTGGCTGCGGCCAATGCTGGAAACGTGGCAAGGAATGCTGCGGAAGCACAACCGGTTGGGTTGGAGGCTATTCTGGGGTTGGTGGCTCAAGTGTTGGAGCGTTTACCAGTGGTTGCGCCTGCGCCGGTAGTGGCACCACAAGTGGTGGAACCGGTTGTTGCCGATGGAGTTGGGGAGGCGGATCAGGGTGTGGTGATTCTGTCTTACCTCAAGGTTCTGGATCATATGGGGAGGCTAGGAAACAAGTTCTTTGCGGGAGGTTCTGCGCCTATTG